ATGTTTAGAAAACAGCTGGATGTTTAGTCAACAGATGGATGTTTAGTGAACAGCTGGATGTTTAGTAAACAGCTGGATGTTTAGTCAACAGATGGATGTTTAGTGAACAGCTGGATGTTTAGTAAACAGCTGGATGTTTAGTCAACAGATGGATGTTTAGTGAACAGCTGGATGTTTAGTAAACAGCTGGATGTTTAGTCAACAGATGGATGTTTAGTGAACAGCTGGATGTTTAGTAAACAGCTGGATGTTTAGTCAACAGATGGATGTTTAGTGAACAGCTGGATGTTTAGTCAACAGCTGGATGTTTAGTCAACAGATGGATGTTTAGTGAACAGCTGGATGTTTAGTCAACAGCTGGATGTTTAGTGAACAGCTGGATGTGGTTTTTCAGGCGTTTACTCCGTGGTCGCACATCTGGATCCGATGGGAGAAGCTCGAAGCACAGCAGAACTTTCCCTTGCAGGAAAAGGTTTGTACGGTTGAATCTGCAGCTGTTAGTTTGGATTCATGTCTTTTTAGCTGTTAGCAGCAGGTTGCAGCTCTGACGCCTTCTGTTCTTTCACAGAAATTGGATTAGAAACGGTTCTTCAGGGTGAGTCCTTCAAAAAGAAGCWACAGTAAAACTTCCATTCCTTCATTTCTCTTCCTACTATTTAAAGTCTGAAGTGAATGGTTCAGAGTGGAAACCCCGTTCACAGAGCTGGTTAATATTAATGAAACTGTTTGTGGCCAATCTGTAGATGTCTCAGATTCTTTGGTTCTGGTACCGGAGGCAGCGTCCATGTTTGTTTGTAGAGGTGGGTCTGGTTCTCTTTTTAACCAAACCTGCTCAGTGTTTGATTTCAGCTGCTCATTTGACCATTTCTGTCTTTTTTTTCACCTAAAGAGTTTTATCAGTACGAGGAGCGAACTGAGACTACAGGTACAAAACCCCAGATTAAATAACCCTCCAGTGGCTGAAACATCAACATTTAATCTGCATTTATTCCATCAAATTTACCAACAACTTCATCACAGTTCAACCTTCATCCTGAAGCACTGAGTGTGATCCCAATAAGCCCAGACTGATAAATTAATATTTAATAAGCTTCCTGCTGGACAGAAGTGGATTATAATCAAATTATTTCTGAGTTTTTAGTCTGTTTTTATTTGGGTTGCTCGAAACAAAAAGCTCTGAACCTCACAGAAAACACTTTTTAAAAAGTACAAAAATATATTAATCCATGCTAATTAAATTACTATTCATCTTGAATTTCTAACGTTTAATCTCAAACTTTTCGATTTTAGTGAAAAAGTCCTAAATTATATTTTAATGACTTATTTGATTGATTATAAAATTCATAAACACATTTGGACAGATAAAGGAAAATATCTGGATATTTCTTTAATAATGAATCAAAATTTCAAAACTGATTATTTGTTTTAAAATAAACCATCATTTTTCCTTTAGCTTGGTGAAAAAATGAATTAAAACAGTAATTAATTAAACATCAGACTAAAGGTTTTATTCATGACTTTAATCCTGGAGCTCAGAAAGTTGTTGGTCATAATCCTAGTCTGCACCGCTCCCAACAATAATCCCTGTGAGATTTAACAGCTGAATTCTGCTTTGTGCAGAGTTTCAGTTCAGTTCCTGACTTCTTTCTTCCAGCAGGAGAAGTGTCTGCTCCTTCATGTCCCGTGTTCCTCCTGTTGTCTGTTTTCCTTCATGTTGTTGTTGATTCTTGTTATCACTTCCTGTTTGTTTCACCGGATTATTCCAGACCTGCTGCAGGTTTTCTGTCTAATTTCTGTTTTCTTGTCCTCCAGAAGAGAGAAAAGCAGTGGAAGAATTGATTGAGAGCACTCAGGTTGGAGTCGGGGAGGCCTTCCCAGCAGGTATTTCTGCCTCCTCTGGCTCCTGGCTAACAGTTAGCTGCAGCCTCTGAAAGCTTTTCTCTCTCTGTCTGTCGTAGATCAGATTGACTTCTGTCTCTTCTTTTTATTCGTCACTAGTTTCCTCACCTCTCTTCCTTTCTCATTAACCTGAACTGGAACTTTCTGAGCTGTAGATGACAGAAAATAGAGCGTAGAGCTTGGCTGAAATAGTTTAACTCCAACTTTCTTAATGTCTCCAAGTTCCTGGACTTGATGAAGGAGCAGAGAGGAGAGGCTCTGAGCGTGACGCTCTGCTTCCACCTGGAGTCTCAGGTACAAACTCTGTTCATGCTTACTGATTCTTTGTGTCCTGTTGTTTGTTTCATGACTTGTTGTAAATAATCTTCATCTTGTGCTACAACATCCCAACGTCTTTATATTTTAAAGAATCAGATGCAAGGAAAGCTCAGAGTGACGTTACTGACATGGCTGCACCTGGWGGAGGAGAACCTGCACCTTCTGAAGGTAATGTTTGTCAGAAAGTTTGTTTTRATCATTTTGATTTTTAAATATCTGTGAGTCTTTCATGGCTCATTCTTTGARATCTTGATTTGTTAAAACTATGTTAAAATGTCAAACACACCGCAGGACCTTTCACCACTAAACCTGCACTTCCAACCTGAATTAATTACACACATTTTAATTAGATTACAAATAAAACACTTACAGGTTTTCAAAGCATGACATCATTTTTATTTTTATAGAAAAGCATGAACTTAAATTAAATGTGTCCAAACTGAAGACAAGTTTTAAAACTGGTTAGTTTGTTTAAACATAAAGGATGTTCAGAGCTACAGAGAAATAAACAGCATGAGTCAGATCATGAAGATCTGGACAGAGACATGAGGAGAGGATGGGATGGTTCGACATCAGGATTACAGATGAGTCCAGAGGACAGATCAGGATTACAGATGAGTCCATCAGAGGACAGATCAGGATTACAGATGAGTCCATCAGAGGACAGATCAGGATTAGAGATGAGTCCATCAGAGGACAGATTAGGATTACAGATGAGTCCAGAGGACAGATCAGGATTACAGATGAGTCCATCAGAGGACAGATCAGGATTACAGATGAGTCCATCAGAGGACAGATCAGGATTACAGATGAGTCCATCAGAGGACAGATTAGGATTAGAGATGAGTCCATCAGATGGACAGATTAGGATTAGAGATGAGTCCATCAGATGGACAGATGGAGGTACTGATCTACTGATATTGTACTGACTGGAGCAGTTTAGGGAAGATGTTTTAAACTTCAGATCTATAATTCACAAATTTTGTCTTTTCTAAAAATACAAATAATTCATTCTGTGTACACATTATTTTAGATATTTTAAAGTTTGAAAGTTTTCTGTACAGAATATATCCTCTTTAATGTCTTTTGGATCAATCAAACTTGATGAACTGGTTTGATCTTCTCTTGACTGATTGTCTGAATGTTGTTGTGTAAAGAACATTGTGTTCTTCATGTCTGTCTCATTTCTGTTCCATCTCTTCTCTTTGACTCCTTTTACCTCCTGAACTCTTTCACTGTCTTTATGACGATAGTATTATACACCAAACCAGAACCTGAACCACAGAAAGTTCCCAGAAAGGTCACTCCTGAACCTCATGGACCCAAACCAACAGCAGAGGTAGAACTGGTTCCTCCAGAGCCCAAGCAGCTGTCTCAGAAACCAGCAGTACCCAAACCCAAAGTGTCCAAGGCACCAGAAGTTCAACCTGTGAAGAAAACACCAGAGGTTCCAGAACCGAGAGGTATAGTAGAAGAACCTTTTCTGTTCTTTTGCAGAAGGATGTTTTGTTCCACATCTTGATTTGTTTCATGTTGTTCTGATCAACATGAGGAGCCCTAACATGTTTGTGTGACTCTTTGATGTTTTCTGCTGCTAACCTCTTTGTGTAGATCTGTTGTCCCCGCATGACTTTTCCATGTTTCACAAAATTTCTTCCACTAAACTGATGGTTGTGTGTATTTATGTCAATGTAATAAAACTTTCACTATTTTTTCAAACAAAATCTTTATGAATGTTGTGACGTAAAGATGGAAACCTTCTCTATGTTCTTCAAAGTGCCAGCTGTAGCCAAAGCAGTGGATACCACAGTCCATCCAGTCAGTATGGGGATTACTCCTCCAAAGACTGAGGAGATCTTAACCAGAGGTATCACAACTGTCATGTCTTTTAAAGTCTTACATTTCTTTGAAATGTTGWGTTGTGAATGTTGTTCTGTTAACCCCRCAGTTCTTGTTTCTTTGTTTTACACACTCGAGAGAGTGGACTGTCGTGTTGTTGGGTTTAAGGTCGTTCTCAGCAGGTAAAATGTCTAACATCTTTAAATGTTCTTTAAAGCACCAGACCTACCAAAACCAGAAGAACCTCAAACATCTGCAGCTATGGTTACTCCATCAGCTCCAGAACATGGACCATTAGAAGGTACAGATTACTGATCTTTGATTCTATAGTTGTTCAGCTTCTTCTCCTCTTGTCTTTCACTCAGTAAGCCTGAACTCTTTGATCTACTTGGTTTTTACCTGTGAATTAAAAAAACATAATGTTTTCTTAAGTTCAAGAGGTACCAAGACCAGAGAAACCTGTAGCCCAGCCATCTGCTAAAGTTTCTCCAAAGACTGACGCCTCTCCTAAAGGTACTGCAGATATCAGACTGTCTGTTTAATGTTCTTCTGTCAATCTGTGTTGACCTTATTCTCTTGGAACTCTTAGTTCTTCTGCTAACCTCTCTGAAATATATCTTACAAAAATCTTTGAACATACTACGCACTCGTCAGAGTGTGACTTGAGCTTTTTGGAATAAGATAATTATCTTATAATAAATGTTCTTCTAAACTGTCTCAGAAGCAAAGGCACCTGAACTTTCTGGAAAACTGGACCTGCTGGAGAAAGAAGTTCTAAGGTTTACCTCTAAAATAGAAGAACCAAAAATTCAAGAAAAAATACAAGAAAAGGTTCCAGAAGCAACAAAGAAAGTTCCAGAACCACCTATGAAGGTCACTGAAACACCAAAGGTGGTTACAGAGCAGAAGGTTCCAGTTGCACCAAAAGTTCTTCCAGAAACACAAAAGAGCATACCACAACTACCCAAGCTGGTTCCAGAAGAACCCAAGAAAGTTCCAGAACCACTAAAAGTGGTTCCAGAAGAACCCAAGAAAGTTCCAGAACCACCGAAAGTAGTTCCAGAAGAACCCAAGAAAGTGCCAGAGCCACCAAAACTGGTTCCAGAAGAACCCAAGAACGTTCCAGAACCACAAAAAGTGGTTCCAGCAGCACCAAAGAAAGTTCCAGAACCACCAAAAGTGGTTCCAGAAGAACCCAAGAAAGTTCCAAAACTACCAAAAGTGGTTCCAGAAGAACCCAAGAAAGTACCAGAGCCACCAAAAGTGGTTCCAGCAGCACCAAAGAAAGTTCCAGAACCACCAAAAGTGGTTCCAGAAGAACCCAAGAAAGTTCCAGAACCACCAAAAGTGGTTCCAGAAGAACCCAAGAAAGTTCCAAAACTACCAAAAATGGTTCCAGGAGAACCCAATAAAGTACCAGAGCCACCAAATGTGGTTCCAGAAGAATCCAAGAAAGTTCCAAAACTACCAAAAATGGTTCCAGAAGAACCAAAGAAAGTACCAGAGCCACCAAAACTGGTTCCAGAAGAACCCAAGAAAGCTCCAAAACTACCAAAAATGGTTCCAGAAGAACACAAGAAAGTTCCAGAGCCACCAAAAGTGGTTCCAGAACAGAAGAAGTTTCCTGCTACACCTAAAGTTCTTACAGAAACACCAGGAAAGGCTGGAGAAGAACCAATTGAAGTCCCGGAAACACCTAAAACAGTTACTGAAGAAACAAAAACTTTAGTTGAACTCAAAAAGTTTACAGAACCTACAGCAGAACCTGAAGCTCCAAAATTAGTGAGAGACAAACTAGAGCCAAGTCTCAGAGCACCTCCACAAAATCTGGAAGGACTTCATCAACAACAAGGTAGATATGTGTGTGTGTGTTCTTACTCACTAATCTAAACTCATCTTTATCTTCTGGTGTTAGCGGAGCTCTTCAGTCTTGTCCTGGTGTCTTTGTTGCTACATGACTGTTATATGTGTTTAATTAATCTGAAACATTAAATCAGAGGGAAATATCACAGACAGCAACACTAACTCAACCATGAGTTCACTTTGTGTGAAACTCAGCACATTCTGTATTTATTAATAATTAATCTGCCTTTTTGTCTTTCAACATAGAAAAGGATTCCTTTTCCTTGTTGTATCTGCCTCACTGACTGTCTGTTTGTGTCTTCTCCATATGTCTTGAACTCTTGGCCACCGCTTCATGGTGCCTTTCTTCATTCTTGGGTGAAATCTTCCAACGTGTACCAGTTCCTCTAGAGACCGATATCAGCCGAAGAACAATCCTGGTTGAAGATGTTAAGGAGTCTTTTCTTAAAGAAAGTTTCTCTCTGGCAGATGTTAGATTAAAGCAGCAGGACGTTCAGAGATTTGAAAAAGTGCCACTCATTGGGTCTACTGGAACAGAAGACAGAGCTTTAAAGGGTCAGATGAAACAACCAGAAGAAGCAGAAGAAGTTTCCAGGTGGTGCAGTGAAGATCATCCAATAAATCAACCTGACTTTATGAAGCCAAGCCAATCAGAGAGGGACTCTGAACTTCAGCTTTCTTTGCCAAGTTTAACTTCCTCCAGTTTTTCAGACTCATTTCAAGACAAGAGTTTGAGACAAACTGGAAGTATTTCTCACAGCAGTATTTCTTCATCTTTAAAGAAAAATGAACTTCCATCACAACAATTTGAACCTTCAGCTGAAATTGCTTCATCAGAGAAAGACGTTTTTCCTGTTTGGCATGAAAGCCCATCTGATAAAGAAGGTAAGAAGAAATCTCAGGACAAGAAACCAAATGAAGCTTTAATAGAACAGAAACAACTGACTGGATCCTTTGGGACAGCTCACCATGAAGAAAATAAAGAAGGAACTGTTTTAAAACAGGATGTTTTTGCTGAACTGGAAGACGTTTCGACTAAAAAATCCACAATACTGCCCACTTTTCATACGTCACCCTCTTTGTCTGAGGACAGTGTTGGTTTGAAACAACAAACTCCAGCAGCAGCACAAACTGATTCACCAACAAAAGACACATCTTTACTTTTTCCCAGAGAGGTTTCTGCCTCTACCAAGAATTTACCCACACAAGAAATGATCCGACCCAAAGGCAAGTCTGTGTCAACTAAAACATCTCCAACTGTTTCCCCGAAGACACCTGGACCTCCTGACACTCTTTCATCTCCTGCACAAAGAGACGTCTGGTTTCTTCAAACATTCCTCTCAGAAGAGCTTCCAGCTGAAACCAAACCTCCAAATGAAGAAAGAAAGCAAAGAGATCAGGCAACACAGGCTGATCAACAACCTGTGAAAGGTATTCTTGTATGTCTGAACCGTACAGACTCTGAACATCCTTCTTCACATGTTCTGTAGTAACACCTTCCATCAGGCTGCTGTGACAGGAGACACAACACTAACAGTCTGAATGCTGTTTGTTGTCCATGTAACATGGTTTATTTCATCAACAACCTTCACTGTTGTCTCAGGAAACTMTCGTTTCCATCTGTTCTTGTTGTCTTTTCTGTCCTCTTCACTGCTCGTCCTCTCTTGATCATCTCATGCTTCTCTCAGCTGGTCTCACTTGACCATAGTGTTGTCTTGGTTTTTCATCTTGACATATTTCATTCCCAAAGTGTCTCGACCAGAGGAGAAGGAACCAGCACCAGCAGCAAAGCCTTCACCTCCTCCTCCTCCTCCAACCACTCCTGCTCAGAAAGTTGCTTCTCCTGCAGGTAGTCTCTTTAGTCTCTGCTGACTGCTCATGAGTCAGGCATGTTTGTCTCTGTGTCCATTCTGTTGTTGAACTTGTCCAGAAGTTTCCATGCTTTAGTTGTTGTCTTTTAGTGCTGATCCACATCAGTACTTTGTGTCTTGACTCCTGAATTATCACCTCCAGAGAAGACGAAAGCATCAGAAGCAGAGCTAAAGCCTCCTCCTCCCACTCCTACAAAGGACCTTCCTCCACCTGCAGGTAGCTCTCTCATGTTTTGTTGTTGTAAACTTTGTTTTTCTGATTTGTTTCTTGGGTGTGTGTGTGTGTGTTTTTCTGATTTGTTTCTTGGGTGTGTGTGTGTGTGTGGG